ACAATGGCAGCAAGAATAGTATACGCAATTCTGGAAAAATGAGAATATACCAGGGGTAGGCAATCCAAAACACTCAAAGAGCCACTTGGACTCGTTTCCCACTGAAAACAAAACACTGGGAGCTGCAAAACCCTTTTGATATCTAAAATGAAGATAACACTGCATATATCCTTTTTTACCTTTATTATAGGTGTGTGTGTGTGTGTGTGTGTGTGTGTGTGTAGATCTTTGGTTATTCGGGTTTTCTCCCACGTAAAATTGGAAGTGTCTTGGAGACATTTCGACGAAGTCCCATTCGTCATCTTCAGGCTGGTGTTTTTGGCTTCGTGCTTCTAGGACTTCATCGAAACGTCGCCAATACACTTCCAATTTTACGTGGGAGAAAACCCGAATAACCAAAGACCTACATACAAACACCCGCGAAAACCTCAGAAAATATATGTATATGTATATACACATACACACACACACACACCTATAATAAAGGTAAAAAAGGATATATGCAGTGTTGTCTTCATTTTAGATGTCAAAAGGGTCTCTCTCCCTCCCTTTCCTTCCTTTCTTCCCTTTCTCTTTCCTTTCTTTCCTCTTTCCTCTTCCTTTCCTTTCTTTCCTCTCTCCTTTCCTTTCCCTTTCTTTCCTTTCCTCTCCCACTTTTTCTTTCCTCTCCCTTTCTCTTTCCTTTCCTTCTCTTTCCTCTCCCCTCTTTCTCTCTTTCCTCTCTTTTTCTTTCCTCTCTCTAATTGTGTCGGATATGCACTGAGAAATCTATTTGCAGATTGACAAAAAAGTAACAAGAACCTATTTATTGTACATAATGTTTTATTATAAATTGTGAATTGTATATTGCATCTGTACATCTGCTGTGGTTTTGTGATGTGCAAATTTCAGCATGGGTTTCATCGAAGTTTTCAATTACTTTTCTGTTGTTTGGGGGAGTTTAAAAAATTGTTTTGGGTTTGTTTGGAGGTTTTTTGGCAGGACACAGCCAAAGACCCAAGTTTATATTTAAAAAAAAACTAGGGGAAAAATAGACAAGCTAATACACCCTTTCACTGAAGAAGGAGGGAGGGAGGGGGGAAAGGGAGCAAAGTTTTCTGAGTTCTCATTGGCTACCTGTAAGCCCAAATGAGTACAGTATTCCCTCCTCCAGTGCTGAGCTCAGGGTGTGTGCGTGCACGTGTACGCATGCGTGCGACTCCCCGCTCCCCTCACCCAGCTTTTGTCCTGCTCTCTATTCCCTCCTTTTCCTGTTTTGGAAACTTCTGTACTCCAATCCTCCAGATTGGCACTATCTAAGCCACTGCTGCTTGATTCCTCTCCCTGGCCAAAAAAATGTCTTCGTCCAGCCCCCGAATCCCCCCAACACCACTCTTTTTCTCTTTTACTGCTCCCTCTCCCGCACCCCAATTGGTCTTTTTCATGTATTTAGGAAGGAATTTTTAATAGACACTTTTTATATTAAAAGAAACCTATATATTGAGTGACGAGGCTGCCTCATGTGCTTCTATTAGCTGTTTGGTTAGACACTGCTTGGGGATCTGGGGGGGAGGGGGAGATGGCTTCACAGTGAAGGCTTCGCGGGGGCACTGCTGGCGGGGCGGGACAAGTGAGGAGGATGTGAGGCTTGCTTTTGGCTATGCCCCGCAACAGCTCCAGGGGAATCAAGCCCAGCTTCCCGGTGCTGGCATCCAGGAAGCCGACGCGGCTGAGTTTGCGCCGCAACAGAAAACTAGCCAAACACCACAGGTGTGAACGCAGTCACGGCGGCAGCCTTTGCATGTGAGGCAGCCGAACGTGGGGCAGAGATTTGGGCTGCTTGCAAGGCAGCACCTCTGAAAAGCAGAGACTCTCTTTTCCCCCATCGACGCTCCTGCTCCAAAGCCTCCAACCCCTCCATTCTAGCAAAGCGCTGCCTGCTTTCCTTTTTTCTCCTCCTTTCCCTCGGTCCCAACTCAGTTCGGCAGGATGGATGAGATTTTTCCTGGCCCGCGTTTCAAAGGCGTGATTAGACACACAACGCCCACAATAATTGGGCCACAAGGCGCAACTTCCCCAGGAGGCAGAAAGAATTCTGGGCAAGCGGCATTTTGGAGGTCAGGCCAAGGCTTGGTCGGGCCCTCATGGGGTGCGGCTCCATGGAATTCCGGGTGCCTGACTCACGGAGGAAGCCAGCCGGGAGCCCACAATTAGCGGGCCTGCCAGGAGGCAGTTGACGTGAACACCCCCACAGGATGGGATTCATGGCCAGCCGACCATGGGGTGGGAGCGGCTCCCTCACCAGGGCCGCTCGGCCTCCCCAGCTGTCCAGCCGTCCCAGCCTTTCCAGGGCCAAATCCTGCAGGAGGGCGACAGGACCAGGCTGGGTGGCGGGAAAGGAGGTGTGCTGCAATTCGCACAACACTGGTCCCAGTCCAGAGGAGCGCCCCGGCTCCGCTTCCTCTCCTGTTCCAGGTGTGGGGAACTGGACTGAGGTCCCAGAAAAAACAAGCATGGGGGGGCAGGAGGCAGCAGAAGGCACCCGGGCACCACGAACCGGCCCGGGGACGGTCCAGGGATGCCCACTGCCGGGGCTGCTGCCTGGACCAGCTTGGGGAGACGCGTGGCCAGCTCGGCTGCCCAGGGAGCAATGCTGGCACCGGTTGTCCCCCCAGCAGCAAGAGGAAAAAGAGGAGGGTGAGGAAGCCACCACCACCGCCCCAGTCGGGACTCCGCGCTGCCCAGGGCTCGCCCTCCACCCATCCAATGTAGCTGTGGCGGGGGCTGGTGCTGTGCAGCCCGCTGGCCCTTGCCGCAATGCTGCGCCTGCTCTGCTGGCCTGGCTGCTCCCCCCTGGGCACCCCTCTTGCCCCGGCATCTGCCTGAGCCACCCGGGGGCAGCAGGAAGGGAGGAGGGTGAAGAAGCCGCTGCTGCCAGCCCAGCCGGGACTCCACACTGCCCGGCCTCGCCCTCCACCCATCCGATATAGCCGCAGCAGGCCGCTGCAGGGGCTGGTGCCATGCGGGCCGCTGGCCCTGGCCGCGATGCTGCGGCTGCTCTGCCTGACCAGCCCCTGCCAGCCCCTCCACCAGCGCGGCTGGACCCCCAGGTGCCCCTCTTGCCCCGGCACCCGCCCGAGTCACTTGGGGAGCAGAAGGGGAGGAGGGGGGCAAGGAAGCCGCCGCTGGCACTGGGTCCCATGAGGAGGCTCTCCTACCATTGCTGCATCTCCCTCTTCCTTCCCAGCAGCCGGGACTCCAGCGCATCTTCCCGGTCAGCCAATGGTCGCACTGGCTGGGGATCGCAGGGGCTGCTTTCCCTTGAGCCACGGCTTGTGGGAGGGCTGGCCATTCAGCAGAGCCTCCAGTAGGCCGTTCCCAGCAGGGATCCTGTTCTTCCCTGGGCGGCTCCATGGCCACATGCGCCTGGGACGGAGCCAGCCCGGGAAAGGGACTTCCTGGCTGCGATTCTCTCAGGGGGTGGGGCACCCAGGTGCAGGGCCAATCAGGAACCCTGGGAGGGTGCAAGTCCGCATGAGAGAGAAGGGAAGCGCAAGTGCCTCTATGTCTCTCTCTCTCTCTCTGCAAATGGCAGAGGAGGCTCTGGAGCCACAGGTTGCCGACCCGTGGAATATACCATCAGAAGAAGTAGTGATAAGAAAAATCCTGGACTGTGCTAAGATAGACAAATTAACAAAGAAATAAAAGAAAATGAAGACACAGAGTATTATCTAATATGGAATAAGTGGACTGATTGGAGATTAGAAATAATAAATAAGAATGTGGAAAGGTCAAAAATGGAAAATGTGTGTATAATAATGTATAGTAATAATAATATGTATTATTTTTAGTATGAAGTATAGTATGAAGGAAGAAAAATATAAACAAGAAACAACGGGACAACAAGGAAAAATATATATAAAGAAGAATAAGGGAGAAAAATGTAAATAATAGAAGGTAATTGTTAACAGTAATTGTTACAAAATTGCTGTTAAAAAAGGGAGTATACACTGTGTGTGTATGTGTGTTATGCTTTGTTGTTTTAAAAAATAAAAATAAATTTTAAAAAAAGAAAGAAAACAGAACTCTTGAAACTGGCATTGTTTCAAAAGAAACTCTTATTGATAGTGAAAGCAGAAAGGCAAGGCAAGATCTGAACATTTTCCACGCAAAACGTTACATGAAACCCCTCTCTTCAGAATCCCTCCCAAGTGCCCAAGTGCCTAGTCCATTTCCAGACAATCCACAGGTAAAAGTTTTTATGGAAACTGGAAGGTGAAAGAATGATAAAGCACTGTTCCCAAGCATTGCATCTTTTTCCCAGCAGAGCAAATATAAGGCAGATGGCCCTAGGCACATTCCTCCCCCCTTTCACAGCCAAAGAGATACATCAAAATGTGTAAGAGCAAAGCAAAAGAATCACATCCCAGGACCCACACATTCTCCCCTCCCAACAGAATGCCAGCTTCCCGATAAAGGATCTGAGGGGCCTGAAAGACTGCCTCATAGCTCCCAAGCTAAGGTAATACAGTTGGTAAATAAAGGTCCCAACATCTTGGTGAAGTGCTTTCCCCATTAAGTTCTTCAGAGACTTGCTGGCCCCATCATCTGCCAATGACCTTCTGGTTTATAGGGTTGCTCTGGAAATAATCAATTTTTAAAATGCTTCGTGCTTTGTCAGGATTTCAGGCCTCAGTTGGTTCCAGTCCAAGCAGAGTCTGGCATATGCATAGGAATGCAGACATTTCAGATATGTTTTAACTGGTGAAATAATTTGATTTGTATTTTAAGATAGTTGCATTAAATCCTTTTCTGTACATTGCTTAAGTATGCAGGGAGAGGTAAATAGTTTATCACAAAGAAATAGGATTTGGATGACCAAGACTTTTGGGAAACAGCCAATTATCTCTCCTTGCATTCTCAAACTAAAGATTTTTTTTTTCTATTTTGCCTTCAGCATCACTTATACAGAAAATTGTCTAAAATCATATTTGAAAAACATGTTTGTGATGAACAGAAAATGTTGAAACAGTTGAACACATTTTATTATATATCATAATGAAGATAAATTTTCAAGGAGCATTTGAGGAAAAGCAACAAATAGCAATAACACTTAGAGATATATACTGCCCAATAGTGCTTTATGGCACTCTCTGGGCAGTTTACAATGTCAATGTATTGCACCCAGCAATCCAGATCCTCATTTTACCACCCTCAGAAGGATAGAAGGCTGAGTCAATCTCGAGCCCCATCAGGATCTAACTCCAGGCTGTGGGCAGAGTTAACCTAATTCTAACCACTGCACCACTAGGGCTCATAAAAGACCATGAAAGACTACTTACACTTTCTCCTATTAAGCACATTTATTAAGTACACATTCTATATGGAGATAGCAACATTTTGGCTATTTCATTGTTTTAAAGCTGAACTTTAAAAAGTTATATATGTGGAGAGTATTCATTAAGTTGTTTGTGGATGGGTAGACCCAACTGATTCTTACAGCTGCTCCGGGGAGGTAAAAATAGAAAATGCTGGATCAAGAATGAAGAACTGCATTTCTTCTAAGGTGAGATAATTGTTATCTATCTCAGTGAGCTTCAGGTAGATAAAAACCATTTCACATCTGATTTTTCTAGAAACACATGAGGAGATCCAGCAGTTTTCTGAAAGTGAATCTTTTACATTCCAAGCATTTTTTGGTCAGATTTACTTCTGAAAAACTGCCAGATCATCTTCAGAATGACACCATTTAGACATAACATTTTGGGGCCAAAATCTAAATATTCTGTACCTGACAAATGCTTTCAACACCAAGCAGTTGTAAGTCAATCTGCAACCCATGTGTGTATATGACATCATCTCTTCCTGTTGGTTACTAGGAAAATCACCATTTTTCCTCCAGATGCACAAATCAAACATATCAAAGGTTAAACCTTTTGCCCTGGGTCAGGAGTTGTAGGGAATCTGTAGACTTTGAAACCCTTAGCTACAACTTAGCAACATCACTGGTATGGGTTGAAGAATTCATCTGAAGGATTACTCTCCTGAAAAAAAAAATAAGGTCAACAGCTTTCTTTGTGGACATGGTAGCAGGAATATGCCAGATATACCAGGCCTGAGAATTGGCACTCTGCACTGACTATTTTTGTTGCTTTTAAGGCAAATGATAGCAACAATAATGTCCATGTTAAATGAACTCTTCTTTCTGCATTTGTAAAGAAAATTCAGAAAGTACTCAGGAATGAAGAATTAAGTGCAGCACTCACATTCTTTAGGTTGTTTTTAGGGTATTTTTTGTGAAGGGCGAAGGCAGAATACATATCCCTGTTTTGGTCATAGTTATTCAAGGAGAGTAACAGTATGGCATCTTAATATATGGCAACTGAGCATATCTACTTGGATAACATTCAAGATGGCCACTCACAGAAATATAAGTATTCTTACAAGAGGACAATTTTCCATTCCATTCACCTATAAATGAGGGCAGAGATATCCCAATGCAAGGTTCATTCTTCTGTACTTGCATACCAACATTAGATGCAAATACGTTAAGTTGTGGGATTTGCCTCATGAGCCATGTTTTGTCACTTGCTTCCTGCTTGCTCTCCCTCCCTAGTTTTCATTCTGCAAAATTAAGTCATTAATCCATTTTGAAACTCATTTCTCTAATTAAATGCAAGATGCCTTGCACCTTTGAATAATTAAGTCTCACTGGGTCACATTTAGCAACACAACACAACTGAGATCTGGTTCCACAAATAAGGCCAGATAATGGGCAGGAACAGAAGGTGATCAAACACACTAGACAGATTTTATATCTTTATGACTTCATTCCTGTTTGCACAAATGTCACTCCTTGATCAAAGATGGGCCAGTGAAAGTTCAGATTTTCCTCCAGTTGTTGCCACTTCGATCAAACTTCCAGAATCTGGCCGGTCTTTACCGATGATCCAGTCATAAAAGGTTCTGGCAGAACAGATGGAAACAACTGCATGAGTTATTGTAATTTCACTGGAAAGTTTCACATTCCAAATCTCACTGAGCTTCCACAGTTATTCCATAACGTCACTATTAATAAAGTTCTGAGATAACAAGCTGAAAAGCAATTTGAATCCCCCATTCAGAGGACCTTGTAAAATATTGCAGTGCAGAAGTTTCCATTTTAATGGGCTGGAGATGCTTCTCTTTATTTTCCTGGAAAGACAAACCTCCTAACTCCAAAGATTTGTTAAGATGTAACATTATATTTGTCATACACAACAACATTCTCAGCTTCATCAAAGCTACTAATAAAAGAAGCTAAACCACCTCCTAATACAAGGAGATAAACCATCATTATTCCCAATCTACAATTTAAAAGAGGCACTATGAAGTTGAAGTTGGTACAAGACATCTCAACTAAAGGAGATCCCTCTTCTGTAGTTCAGATTATCCTGCTCGGACAAGGCAAAAAGTATAAATAAATAGATCAGATACATAAAGGAACAGGAAGGAACTGATGCAAGACACTCTTCTTTCCAAGAAAAGAAATTAATCTATGTAAAGTATCTGTCTGCTCATCAGTCTGTCCATCTGTCTGTTTATCCATCCATACTCCATAGTATAAGATTTTGAGAACATGTCAATCAATCAGAATAGAGCTGGAAGGGACCTTGAAGGCCTTCTAGTCCAGCCCCCTGCTTAAGCAGGAGACCCTATACCATTTCAGACAAGTGACTGTCCAGTCTCTTCTTAAAAACCTCCAGTGATGAAGCACCCACAACTTCTGACGACAAGCTGTTCTACTGGTTAATTGTCCTCACTGTTAGGAAGTTTCTCTTTAGTTCCAGGTTGCTTCTCTCCTTGATTAATTTCCATCCATTGTTTCTTGTCGTGCCTGACCCCTTCCTCTTTGTGGCAATCTCTCAAATACTGGAACACTGCTATCATGTCACCCTAGTCCTTCTTTTCTCTAGACTAGCGAAACCCAAATCCTGCAACCATTCTTCATGTTTTAGTCTCCATGCTTTTAATCATCTTAGTTACTCTTCTTTGCACTTTTTCCAACATCTTTTTTGTAATGTAGTGACCAAAACTGGATGCAGTATTCCAGATGTGGTCTTACTAAGCCTTTATAAAGCAGTAATAATATTTCATGTGATTTTGATTCAATGCCTCTGTTTATACAACTAAGGATTGTATTAGCTTTTTTGGCTGCTGCTGCACACTGCTGGCTCATATTTACGTGATAGTCCAATAGGACTCCAAGGTTCCTCTCACAATTACTGTTTTTGAGCCAGATTTCACTTAATCTGTACTTCTACCTTTGATTTTTCCTGTCTATTTATTTAATTCTTTATTTTCCTGGAAAGATAAACCTCCTAAATCCAAAGATTTGTTAAGATATAACATTACTGATTTGTAATCAAACATTCTCTGCGGGAAAAGTGCTTGCGGTACCTGTCTCCTGCTCCTCCTCCCCCCCCCATTCCTTTTTGCCACCATCGGAACACAGCCCCCCCAACCAAGAAGAAGAAATAGTTTCTGTTTCAGGACCAGTACTCTTTAACATCTTTATAAACGATTTAAATGAGAAGGGGAACTCATCAAATTTTCAGATACCACTAAACTGACAGGAATAGCCAACAGCCCAGAAGATAGGCTCAAGATCCAGATGCATCTCGACAAACTTGAACACTGGGCCCTATCTAATAAAATGAAATTCAAAATAGAGAAAAGTAAGGTTTTATACTTAGGCAAGAAAAATCAAATGTACATGTAGAGATTAGGTGAAACCTGGCTCAATAGCAGTAACTGTGAAAGGATCTTGGAGTCCTAGTGGAAATCACTTAACTATGAGCCAGCAGTGTGCAGCAGCAGCCAAAAAAGCTAACACAATCCTACGTTACATTAATAGCAGAATAAAATCAAGATAAAAGCCTTAGTAAGACCACACATAGAATACTGTATCCAGTTTTGATCAACATATTATAAAAAAGATGTACAGACCCTGGAAAGAGTGCAGAAAAGAGGAACAAAGATGATTTGGGGGCTGGAGCTAAAACATATAAAGAACAGTTACAGGAATTGGGTTTCTCTAGTCTAGTTAAAAGAAGGACCAAGGATGACCTGATAAGAGTGTTCCAATATTTGAAGCACTGCCACAAAGAAAAAGAGGTCAACCTATTTATCAAGACCCAGAAAGCAAGAGAAAAAACAATGGATGGAAACTAATCAAGAGAAGCAACCTAGAACTAAGCAGAAATTTCCTAACAATGAGAACAATTAACTAGTGAAATGGCTTGCCTTTAGAAGTTGTGGGTGCTCCATCACTGGAGGCTTTTAAGAAAAGACTGGACAGCCACTTGTCTTGAATGATAAAGGGTTTCCTGCTTAAGCAAGGGATTGGACTAGATCTCCAAGGTTCCTTCCAACTCAGTTTGTTATTCTGTTTTTCTTCTGCAATCACGGCCATCATAATGGCTTTCCCCCCCTCACTGTGAACATCCAAGACTCCCAGCATCAATTTGCAGATTTACAAAAAAAAACAACAACACAGATTTCGTTATTCCACAAAACTCTGAACCAAAATGCACGCAACAGATGTTCAAGGCAACATTGGGAGCTGGAAAACAGTTTCCTCAACACAGTCTTGTTTGCTCACCCTGCGATGAAATCTAGTGGCGTCCAGGAGCTGAAGTCAGCATCTGGCATGGACTTCCTATTCATCGGAGTATCCAAGGTAACCCTATAACAGAGAGAGAGAGAGATAAGCTCCTTTGCTTGCTGTCTGGTTCATCTAATCAATCCTGCCCGTGTTTCTTCTGTGCTCTAACAAAAGCACCAGGCTCAACCCAGAATAAGAGCACTTTTTTTTTCAATCCAGTTTCCAGGAAAATGCACTTTCATTCATTTACAATGTTCTTGATTAAAGCAAACATGTTATCCAGAATAAAATATTTCATCCAAAATTCACCAAAGGTCCAATAGTTTTTTTCCCCAGATATGGAAAATACAGTTTTACAAAGAATCATAGAGCTGGAAGGGACCTTGGAGATCTTCTAGTCCAAATTCCAACCCAAAACAGCAGACCTTATATCAGGCATGTCAGACTCTCAACATCACCTGATGTCGCGTGACGTATCGGGACTTTTCTTCCATTGCCAGCAATGGGGTGGACATGGTTTCGGCATGACACATCCAGCCCACAGGCCAGCAGTTTGACATGCCTGCCTTATATCATCCCAGACAAATGGCTGTTCAATCTTTTCTTGAAAACCTCAAGAAAACCTTATGTGCTCAAATGTTAATTATCAAAGCGTTTAGATCACTGTTTCTCAACCTTGGCAACTTTAAGATATATGGGCTTCAATTCCCAGAATTCCCAAGCCAGCATGACTGGCTGGGGAATTCTGAGAGTCGAAGTCCACACATCTTAAAATTGTTAAGTTTGAGAAACACAGTTTTAGACAAATAAAATGGAAAGTTAATAAATGTCCTTTCACATCTTTGGATTCACAAGTCCTAATCAGATTAAAAATGTCAAGATTGCAGCAGAGACCACATATCAAAGTCCCACCCTCCTTTTGTATGTGTGGCACATGCTACTGGATCTATACCCAATGTTCAAGCCACTTCTCTATGAGGTTCATCCAACTCTGCAGGAGTTTGGCACCCAGTGAATTTCGAGCCATCCCTTGAACCACATAACTCCCATGTGATTCCAGAATGAGGACTTACGGGAGGATCGCAACAGCTGCAGCACCAGCGGGGAGGCCACTGTTTGAACCAGACAGACTCTGGCAGAGTTGATGGACAGCTCCTTTGGCCATGCCATATGCAATCATTCCTAGAATACAAAATACAAAATAACAAGAGTTGGAAGGGACCTTGGAGGACCTAGTCCAACCCCCTGCTCAAGCAGAAGACCCTATACCATTTTAGACAAGTAACTGTCCAGTCTCTTCTTTAAAAGCCTTCAGTGATGAAGCACCTACAATTCCTGAAGGCAAGCCGTTCCACCGATTATTTGTTCTCACTATTAGGTAATTTCTCCTTAGTTCTAGGTTGCTTCTCACCTTAATTAGTTCTCGTCCATTGTTTCTTCTCTTGCCTTCTGGTGCTTTGGGAAATAGGTTAACCCCTCTTCTTTGTGGCAGCCCCTCAAATATTGGAACACTGCTGTCATATGGCTCCTAGTCCATCTTTTCACTAGACTGGACATACCCACTGTGACTGTCTTCATGTATTTTAGCTACCAGGCCCCTTATCATTTTAGTTGCTCTTCTCTGCACTAGTTCCAGAGTCTCCACATCTTTTTTATAATGTGGTGCCAAAAACTGGATGCAGTATTCCAGGTTTCATAAAGGTTTCATTCTAAAATGCAGTATTCTAAAGTTTTATAAAGCAGTAATACTTGATGTGATCTTGAGTCTATCCCTGTTTATGCAACTTAAGATTGCATTGCCATTTTTTACTGCTACACATACTACTGACTCATATTTAAGTGGCTGTCCACTAGGACTCCAAGATCCTCTCACAGTTACTGCACCTAATCTATACACTTAGTTTTGTTGCCTAAGTGTAAGTTCCCTTACTTTTCTCTATACTGAATTTCATTTTGTTGGATAGAGCCAGTGTTCAAGCCTGTCAAAATTCATCTGGATCTTGAGCTTATCATCTATGTTGACTATTCCTGCCAGCTTAGTGTTGTCTATTGCTGCTGCTGAATTGCCCTTCTACTACATCATCTTAATTGTTAATGAAGATATTGAAGAGTATGGGACCTAAGACAGAATCTTGGGGTATCCCACTGCTTACTTCCCTCCATGTAAATGTAGTTCCATTAAAGACTAAACATTGTGTGTAGTTTGTCTGCCAGTTACAAATCCATCTACTGGTGATGTCTATCCTACATTTTTCTAGCTTATCAAGAAGTAGGTTATGGTCTACTTTGTTGAATGCTTCAATGAAATCCAAATATACTATGTCCACAGCATTTCACTGGTCCATTAATTTGATCACTTGATCAAAGAATTAAATAAGATTTGTTTGGCATGATCTGTTTTAAACAAATCCATGTTAGATTCTGGTTATAACTTTGCTTGTTTCTAGGTGTTCGCAGATCTGTTGCTTGATTATCTTTTCAAGGATCTTCTAAGTATTGATGTCAGGCTGATTGATCTGTAATTCCCTGTACTTCTTTTTTCCCCTTTTCTGAAGATGGGAACCATATCAGCCTTTTTCAGTTCACCAGGATCTTTGAAAGATATCGTTCAATAGTTCTGAGACCACATCTGCCAGCTCCTTCAGAACTCTGGGATGTAATCTGCAGGTCCTGGTGATTTGACCCTGACTAGAAGTGACACCACTTTCTTGCTTATTTTAATTTTTATTTGTACCCCGTCTTTTAATGTTTTTGGTAGGTTGGGATATATTTTGTGTGTGTGTGTGAAGACAGGTGCAAAGAATGAATTAAGCAGCTATGCCTTTTCTCTACTACCCATTAACTTCCTTACAATCTTCTCCCATTAGTGGACCAATTGTTGCCTTGACTTTTTCCTTGTTTTTTATATATTGAAAGAAACTTTTTATTGTTTTTGACATTTGTTGCAAGTCTTACTTCATTCTGAGCCTTAGCTTTCCTGAGTTCATGTTTGCAAGCTCGGGATATTTGTTGGTATTCTACCTTAATTATGTGTCTGTCTTTGTATTTTTTGTACTTATCCTTTTTATTTTTTAGTTTATCAGAGAGAGCATTGTGCAACCATGCTTATTTCTTCTCGGATTTCTTGTTTTCCTTTTTCAGTATTATTGTACCAGACTGGGCTTTTATGATCATATTTTTAGAATTTCCCAAATTTCTTGAGTTGTTTTGACCTTTAAGATTTTCATCCATGGAATCCTTCCCAAGCTCTGAGTTTGTTAAAATTAGTTTTTTTTAAATCTAAGACATTGAGATTATGTTCTATTGTTTGTGCTTGCATTATATTGAATTCCAATATAACATGGTCACTTTCCCCCAAAGTTCTGGCAACTTCAACCCCCTCTATAACGTCTTCTCTGTTAGTAAGAATTAGGTCCACTATAACTATCCCTCTAGTTCCCTCTAACTTTTGGCTACAAAGTTGTCAACTACATACATTTGTTAACTGGCTAGCAAAAAGTTCATCTATTTCTTCTGCATAGTTGGGGGGGGGGGCTGTATTATATACCTATGGCAATGGCATTCTTTTTTCCTTTTATATTGGCATTCTAGGTGGTTTTCATCCTTGGTTTTGTGCATTTCTGTACAAAAATGATGTCTTACATATAATGCAATTCCACCTTCTCTTTAATTAGGTCTGTTTCTTTTGAATAGTTTGTATCCACAAATGAAGACGAATATACATGTCCCAATATAATGTTGCAGGATCCAATCTGGGTCGGTCACCGGGACCAGAAGTTTTGTCTTCTGAGCTTTCAAACTCATGCTGAAGCCCAACTTCAGGGAACTTCTCTCTAGCAGAATGTGTGCTGTTCTGTATGTGGTATTTATAATGTCTGTTGTATGTGGCTTTTTAGATGTTGATTGGGGTGTGTTGATGGTTGGCTTTTAAGTCGTTGGCTGTTATTTGCTTGTACTGCCCAGCCCTCACCTTCTAAGTACTTGATAGACTGGTGGTAAATCAGCACTGCTGTTGACTGACAAGGGGCCTGTTTCCCAGGCTTCAATCACTTCCCTGGCTGTTTTTGTGCCTGTTCATCCAACAAACTTAATATCTGCAGAATTGAATGTATGTCCTTGTTCATTGTAGTGTGAGGTTACCAATGAGTTCGGGTCTCCTCGACTGATTGCTCGCTTGTGTTCTTGCAATCTGATGGTTAGCTTCCTCCCCCTCTTTCTACAGTCATTAACTTAACAACTGTAATAATTCATTTAACAACTGCAATAATTCACTTAACAACTGTGGAAAAAAGTTCATAAAATGGAGCAAAATTCACCTAACAAATGTTTCACTTAGCAACATAAATTTTGGACTCAACTGTGTTGTAAGTTGAGGACTACCTGTGTATTTCCTAACCATTCAACCCCATGACATTAGATTTTTCTGTTTTCCACAGAAATAGCCTTGATGGCAACCGTATCTTCCTCAGTCACCTCATGGCTAAGAATAAAGTTTGACTTTCAGCTGAAGCCTGTTATGAAATGCACCTTAGTGGATATAAGGCACTACCTGAAAGCTGACCACATCAGATGGCCTCTTGAAGCCTACCTTCATTGCATCAGTGTGGGAATATAAGAGCAAGCTCAAGAAATGACTTGCAAATATGTTAATTTTAGCTATCATTTTAATATATTATGGACTGTTTCATGTTGCTGTTTTTAATAGGTTTTTGTAACACATTAAAAAATAGTATTTAGCAATACCAATGCTTCAAATTATGTTTTACACATAGTCCTTTGACTTACAGCCACAATATTTGTTGTTAAGCAATCTAGTTACTAATTGAGGTATCATGTGACCCATTTTTATAACCTTTTTTGCTATAGTTGTTAAGCAAGACAAAATGTAACTGCAACTTGGGATCTCCCCTGCCAGCTTCCCCACTGACTTTGTCTGTCTGTTTTTTTCAAGAGGCAACTGGACTTTCTTGTTTTTCTTTGAAGATGTTTCGCTTCTCATCCAAGAAGCTTCTTCAGCTCTGACTGGATGGTGGAGAATGTAAGGACTTATATTCCTTGCAGCCAGTTAGTCATTTGCATTCTTTTAGAGTCGTTGAGGCCACTTGGAGGTTTATCTGTGTCTTCAGGTCCTGAATAGTGCAAATGGGTATAGAGCCTTCTTGGAACTGCTGAAAGTCATTTTTTTCAGTGCCATAGTAACGTCAAATGGTTACTAACTGAATGGTTGTAAGTTGAGGACTATCTGTATTATAAAATGAACTGATGAATTAATTAAACTATTCCATATTTATGAATTTAAATTGGAAGTCCCTTCCTTCCTTCCTTCCTTCCTCCCTTCCTTCCTTTCTACCTACCTACAACAAAACTGGTTATTCTGCTACTTGACCTGGATACTTTTTTTTTTTTAAATGAAGGGCAAAATGTGAATTGTAACCAAAAAAGACATCTAAATTCATTTAGAATCAAAGACCTTGTCTTACTGTGGATACCCTAATAATGATATCCTACTATATATTTCCCCCTTTATGGATTACTTGTCGTGGCGAAGGGGCTTGTGCAACTCAATGAAGCTATAAGCTATGCCATGCAGGGCCACCCAAGATGGACAGGTCATAGCAGAGAGTTCTGACAAAATGTGATACACTGGAGAAGGAAATGGCAAACCACTCCAGTATCTTTGCCATGAAAACCCCATGGACAGTAATAAAAGGCAAAAAGATATGACGCTGGAAGATGAGCCCCTCAGGTCGGAAGGTGTCCAATATGCTACTGGGGAAGAGCGGAGGGCTAGTACTAGTAGCGCCAGAAAGAATGAAGCGACTGGGCCAAAGCCGAAAGGACGCTCAGCTGTGGATATATCTGGTGGTGAAAGGAAAGTCCGATGCTGCAAAGATTTTTTCTCCATAGGAACCTGGAATGTAAGATCCATGAATCAAAGCAAGCTAGACATAGTCAAAAAAGAGATGACAAGACTGAACATCGACATCTTAGGAATCAGCGAACTAAAATGGACAGGAATGGGTGAATTTAACTCAGATGACCATCAGGTATACTACTGTGGGCAAGAATCCCTCAGAAGAAATGGAGTAGCCTTCATAGTCAATAAAAGAATAGGAAAAGCAATACTGGGATACAATCCCCAAAATGACAGAATGATCTCAATTCGAATCCAAGGCAAACCATTCAATATCACAGTAGTCCAAATCTATGCCCCAACCACTGGTGCTGAAGAGGATGAAATTGACCGGTTCTATGAAGCCCTACAGCACCTTATAGAATTAACACCAAAAAATGATGTCCTTATCATCATGGGGGATTGGAATGCTAAGGTAGGAAGCCAAAAGATAACCGGAATAACAGGCAAGTTTGGCCTTGGAGTACAAAATGAAGCAGGGCACAGGCTAATAGAATTTTGTCAAGAGAATACGATGGTCATAACAAACACTCTTTTCCAACAACCCAAGAGACGGCTATACACATGGACATCACCAGACGGTCAACATAGAAATCAGATCGACTATGTGCTCTGCAGCCAAAGATGGAGAAGCGCTATACAGTCAGTAAAAACAAGACCAGGAGCTGACTGTGGCTCAGATCATGAGCTTCTTGTTGCAAAATTTAGGCTTAAATTGAAAAAAGTAGGGAAAAGCACTAGGCCACTCAGGTATGAACTAAATCATATTCCTGATGAATATACAGTAGAGGTGACAAATAGATTTAAGGAATTAGATCTGATAGACAGAGTGCCTGAAGAACTATGGATGGAAGTTCGCAACATTGTACAAGAGGTAGCAACTAAAACCATCCCAAAGAAAAAGAAATGCAAGAAAGCAAAATGGCTGTCTGAGGAAGCTTTGCAAATAGCTGAGGAAAGAAGGGAAGTGAAAGGCAAAGGAGAAAGAGAAAGATACACCCAATTGAATGCAGAATTCCAGAGAGTAGCTAGAAGAGATAAGAATGCCTTCTTAAATGAACAGTGCAAAGAAATAGAAGAAAACAACAGAATAGGGAGGACCAGAGATCTCTTCAAGAAAATTGGAGATATGAAGGGAACGTTTCATGCAAAGATGGGCATGATAAAGGACCAAAATGGCAGGGACCTAACAGAGGCAGAAGAGATTAAGAAGAGATGGCAAAACTACACAGAAGAACTATACAAGAATGAGCTTAACATCCCAGATAACCACAATGAGATGGTCACTGACCTCGAACCAGACATCCTAGAATGTGAAGTGAAATGGGCCTTAGAAAATCTGAGCAACAACAAAGCTAGTGGAGGTGACAGTATTCCAGCTGAGCTATTCAAAATCTTAAAAGACGATGCAGTAAAAGTGCTACACTCAATTTGCCAGCAAATTTGGAAAACTCAACAGTGGCCACAGGATTGGAAAAGGTCAGTTTACATTCCAATTCCAAAGAAAGGCAATGCCAAAGAATGTTCAAACTATCGCACCATTGCTCTCATTTCACATGCTAGTAAAGTTATGCTTAAAATCCTACAAGCTAGACTCCAGCAGTATGTGATCGAGAACTACCAGAAGTACAGGCAGGATTTCGAAGAGGCAGAGGAACTAGAGATCAAATTGCCAACATACGCTGGATCATGGAGAAAGCTAGGGAGTTCCAGAAAAACATCTACTTCTGCTTCATTGACTATGCTAAAGCCTTTGATTGTGTGGATCACAACAAATTGTGGCAAGTTCTTAAAGAGATGGGAGTACCAGACCATCTCATTTGTCTCTTGAGAAACCTATATGCGGGTCAAGAAGCAACAGTGAGAACTGGACACGGAACCACTGATTGGTTCAAAATTGGAAAAGGAGTCCGGCAAGGCTGTATACTGTCGCCCTGCCTATTTAACTTATATGCAGAGCACATCATGAGAAAGGCAGGGCTAGATGAATCAAAAGTTGGAATTAAGATTGCCGGGAGAAATATCAACAACCTAAGATATGCAGATGATACCACTCTAATGGCAGAAAGTGAAGAGGAACTAAAGAGCCTCTTGATGCGGGTGAAGAAGGAGAGTGCAAAAGTTGGCTTGAAACTCAACATTAAGAAAACCAAAATCATGGCATCCGGCCCTCTCAATTCCTGGCAAATAGATGGGGAAGAAATGGAGGTAGTGACAGATTTTATTTTTCTGGGCTCCAAGATCACCTCAGATGGGGACTGCAGCCAAGAAATTAAAAGACGCTTGCTCCTGGGGAGGAAAGCTATGGCAAATCTAGACAGCATACTAAAAAGCAGAGACATCACCCTGCCAACAAAAGTGCGTATAGTCCAGGCCATGGTTTTCCCAGTTGCAATGTATGGCTGTGAAAGTTGGACCATAAGAAAGGCTGAGCGCCAAAGAATTGAGGCCTTTGAACTATGGTGCTGGAGAAGACTCCTGCGAGTCCCTTGGACTGCAAGGCGTTCAAACCGGTCAGTCCTAGAAGAGATCAACCCCGACTGCTCTTTAGAAGGCCAGATCCTGAAGTTGAAACTCAAATACTTTGGCCACCTAATGAGAAGGAAGGACTCACTGGAGAAGGGCCTAATGCTGGGAAAGATTGAGGGCAATAGAAGAAGGGGACGACAGAGAATGAGATGGCTGGATGGAGTCACTGAAGCAGTAGGTGTGAACTTAAATGGACTCCAGAAGATGGTAGAGGACAGGAAGACCTGGAGGAACGTTGTCCATGGGGTCGCGATGGGTCGGACACGACTTCGCAATTAACAACAACAACACTATATATTTCAGACACTAGTCTCTTAATGAAAATAGGAATCCTTAATCCTCCACCTTTTCTTTGAGCTGGAGTTCTGTATAAAAGAGCAGATTCCCTGATCTGAACTAGAAACTCTCTGCCAATTCAACAAAAGATGGTGAAAACTCCTAGTATTTCAATGGTCAAAGACAGATTTTTTTCATTTGCAATTTTTAAAATGTTATTAACATTGATTTTATTATATTAGTCACTGTTTCAATATGGATTCCTGTAGCAGAATGGGGATTTTAATTTTTAGCAGAAAGCACAACATTTCTGTAGACTTTATACAAACACAAAACTACTAATAGAGCCAGGCCTATTTTATAAGGATTGAGTCAGAGTCCTGAAGGTCATTTGAAGCAACAAAATACAAAGGTCTAATCCAAAGTAAACCAGCAGAATCAGCATTATTACTTAGGGAACAAAATACAAGCTTAGGTCTTAGCCTTTTTGCAACTTATATTCAAGCTAAAGCACTTTTTGTACAAACTTACATACATTCTTCCTAACCTATACACTCAACCCTAACAGAATTTTAAAAATTGTCACTGGAGGACAGAATTTCTACAACTGAAATTTCCAGTCTGAATATTAAAGGCCAAGGAAAATGTTGACCAAACCAACATGCACACCCCAGGAACATTTCCATTTTACCTGGCGTTCCAACTAATGCTGCTTTTGCACCTGTTAGAGTTAATAGGCCCCCTTCCTTCAGGTATTTCGTAGCCAAGTGACTAGAGATGGTTGATGTCCAAACACTTTGCTTCCACATCAGGTCACTGTTTTTGTAGAAAGCTAATGGATGGACAAGAAGATATGGAACACATTAGACATCATGAAACATATCCACCTTCTGCAGAGAGCATCACCAACTGTTCTCTTTGCCTGTTGAGGTCTTGTTCTGCAGAAGACACCTGAGAACTGCTCCCTAGCTTAGCTGCCAGACATGAAATAGGAATTTAACTCCAGCCTGCCCAGTCAGATACCTATGGGTTTAACAATGGGATGGGCATACATTAAAAAACAACTGATGGCATTCAGTCACCTGTAACATTCAAAGGAAGTCTCAAAACATCTAGATCATTCTCCCAGTTCAAAAATAAATTGTCAAGTGCAATCTAATTGTGCTCATTTCTCAACACTTCTTTTTAATCTGTTTTAAATTTAATAAGACACGGATGACTCAATCCTGCTTCAAGTTCAAGTTAACCATCTGGTTTCAAGACACAGACAGGAGTGAAAAACAGAAAACATACACCAGTTCCTTTGATCAACTTCATAGCTTGCTAACTCCATTTCCCATAACCAACAAACTGGGACTTAAATCTTCTTACATACTAAGATTGCAAGTTAAAGGAGGCAATTTTATTTTTCAGGAAGGACATTAACAATGCCAGGTCTGCAGTTCAACCATTATACAAAAGTTGCATTTGAACAATCTGAACTATTTCTATTCACATCAGGTTATGTAAAGGGAGGAGCTACACTAGCCTATTGCTGCCCTACAAGGCCCATGCAAATCTTTTTGTTAAATATTATGAGTATGCCAAGAATTTGGAATATAAACTATATCTGAGAGCCAGTAATTAAGGTGCTGGCCAACAAACCAGGAGGCCTGAGTTCTAATGCCGCCTTATACATGAAAACTGGCTGCATGACTTTGGACCAATCATCAGGAGACTGTAAGTTCTAGTCCCAGTCTTAGGCATGAAAGCCAGGTGGGTGACTTTGGGCTAATCCAGTGGTGGCGAACCTATGGCACGGGTGCCAGAGGCAGCACTCAGAGCCCTCTCTGTGGGCACGCGCACTATAGCCTCAGTCCTAGGCCTTCAGCTGGGTTTTATAAAACCTTTTCACTTTAGGCCTCCACCGTGTGCAAAAAAAAAGAAAAGGTTCAATCAATTTCAACTTCTCGCAGGAAAAAAATGATCTTGCAAAGTTGAAATTAATTGATTGAACTTTTTAGTCCCACCCAGTCTGCCGTTACCACCGCAGTAACACCCACCCAATGGGCCATGCCCACCCAATTGGCCACACCCATCCAGCACTCGATAATGCATAAGTGGGTTTTGGGTTGCAGTTTGGGCACTCAGTCTCTAAAAGGTTCTCCATCACTGGCTAATCACTCTCTCTCAATCAACCCACTTCACAAGGTTGTTACTGTGGGAAAAATAGGAGGAAGAAGGTGTATTATGTATGTTCACATACATAATACACTTCTTACAGTTTTTTTTCTTTTTAATAGATTTACAGACATTTCTAAAATTCTGTTTTCACTTTGTCATTATGGGGTACTAAGTGTAGATTAATGATAAAAATAAATTTCAACTGCAGAATCAGACTACAGCATAACAAAATTGACTAAAGTGAAGGGGAGCTGAATATTTTCTGAAAACACTGTATAAAGTAATAAAGGTGGGATAAAAATCAAATAAGTAAAATAGAAATCCCAAATATTTTCTAGTCACTATCTTGGCAATCACAGACAGCTTCAGACCAGACTCAACTGTGCAACACAGCCCTAATGAAATGCATTTAAACTTAGAAACTTAGAAATCTGTTGTGAGGTCTTCTATTTTTCTCCAACATGCTTTGTTTTCAATGCCAGCCAGTCCAGGACACTGCTAGAAGTCAGGAAATAGATGTTGTCTCACAGCTACTATTGTATCAATGGAATTTCAGGGCTGGAGACATCAGGAAGGCATTAAATGGGGCAGCTACAGCATTCTTTGCTGAGCAGCTCCATCACAGACCAGAAAGAGGCCATTCTGAACAACCACAGGAAAGAGAAAGCAGAGAGCATTTTGTGAACTTACATTTCGCCTTGGCACTGCCTCCAGCCCATCCACCAGCCACACAGAGGATAGCATCCACCTTGTTTTCACCCAGGACTTTTCTGACATCTTCCGTTACCTTTCAAAAGTCAGAGGTGGGGGAGCCCAGTTACAGAACAAGCACCAGCAACTTTAATTTGTAAACATTTCAACCAGCCCTCACCGCTGACTCTCTAAAACAAGATAGATAAATATTTCTGCATATGGAATCATTAGAAGCCTGGCTTTGTTGGTGTTAAGCTTTCGGCAGTTCTTAACCTGTTATCTGAAATCATCCAGCTTTGGCACAGATTTTATTAAACTAAAGTAGCGGGCTGCAGTTTTTCTCTTACTTCTCATACTCAGATGTAAAGGAGTAGAAAGAGCTCTACTTGCCTGGTTAACAAGGAGAACTTTCCAAGTGCCTTCCTTACCTGCGACAGAGCAATTGTCATATTCTTTTCACCATTTTGTTGTTATTAACAACATTGGAAATTTGTAAAATAACAGATACAAAAATAACAGAAAATGGGATTCTAAGGGAGGGAAGCATGGATTCTTTTCCTTGGGGGGGTAGGAGGGCAGGGGTGTCACTTTGGTATGAAGAAGATACATCAAAATTTGTTTGGATGAGTTAAGACTGAGCGAGACTTACAAAACAGGTTTTAGAAAGCTACTGGGAAAAATAAGACTGATTGTTTCAGGAGTGAAATATGACAGATGCAGAACAGATGCTAATGTTGTAACTAATGCAATGGGGAATTTTGCAAAACTTTTCATGGTCCTTTTTCCCTGAATTTTCATCTCGTTAACATGCATGAACCATACATCCCTACCACTAAATAGGACAAGAATGCAAAGCATAATGCTTAATATAAGCCCTGTGCTTTGTAAGGCTGGTCTGGCCCTCTTTTCCATTCTCAGCTATGGATCTCCCAAGAGGACTGTCCAAAAAGTCAGGACGGCAACTTTGATGGCATCACAAAAAATCCTTTATGTTTTAATATGCACTGAAAATACAGATATTATAGTCCTTGACTTATACCACAATTGAACCCAAAATTACAGTTGAACAAAATTACAATTGAACCCAAAAAACTTACAGTTAAGTAAGTTTTGCCCCATTTTATGATCTTTCTTGCCACAGTTGTTAAGTTAGTAACATGACTGTTAAGTGACTCTGGCTTCCCCATTAATTTTGCTTGTCAGGTCACAAAAGTTATAAATACAGTACAAACCAGTTGCCAAGCGCCCAAATTTTGATCACATGACCATGGAGATGCTGCAACGGTCATAAGTATGAGAAATTTCCCCAGAAATTTTTCAGTGCCACTGTATGGTCACTAAATTAATGGCTGTAAGTCGAGGATTACCTATATATCACATCTAAGAGAGGTCTATGTGGCACAAATTGGACTCTAGCATGTTTTCCTTTTTTTCCAATATACTAATCAATGCAAAATCCTCAGGTTATGAAAGGTCTAACTCCTGTAATGGAGTAAACATTTGTGAAATGTTTCAAGCTTTCCAACACCAGCACTGTTGTTTTAGCAGCCCCGTGACAGGCAAAACGTCAATCAGAATAGTGTCCACCCTTCAGTGCCTCCTAATTTTTATGGATATTATGGGAGAACAGTGGTGTTAGTTTATGGTAGTCAGAAATGAGGAGTCTAGTAGCATCTTTTTGGAAGAATGGTTTTTCATTTCAATGCCTTCATATCTGTTTCTCTGAAAAGATGCTACCAGACTCCACCTGATTTTACAATGATTTAGAACAGGATTTCCCAACCTTGGCGATTTTTAAGATTCATGGACTTCAATTCCCAGAATCCCCCAACCAAAATGAGATTTAGGACAATTAGGAACAGTGATTGACTACCTGCCATCGAGTTTGTGTCTTACCAGCTACAAAGATTTTTGTTCCTAGTCTGGGCCTAAGAAATGGAATCCAGTTGCTGACCTATCCCAAATATTTCAAGCTCTGAGTAGGAAACTAAAGTCAACATTTCTGCAGTTTCCTCTGGGCTCTTTTCCAATCGCAAAATGCCTAAAAACGTGGATCTCGTTTTTGTTTTGTTTTTGTTTTTTTTACCTGCTCTGCTTGTTCCACAAATGAATCGCCCATTTGCACCACGACGTTGGCGCTCGCCTCTTGGTTTTCGGCTAAATCAATGCTGAGCACCCACTGCGGGGGGGAGGGGGAAACACACACACACACACACACACACACACCAAGATTTTGTTTTGATGTTTGCAAACAGGGTTGCATTTGCCCCAAAGCTACGCTGCAGAGAGCAAAGCGCTTCGTTGCAACCGCCTCTCCGCGCCCCGCCATGCAACACCTCTGCGTGTGCGTTCTGCACAGCGGCCTCCCCACCACCGACCTGCCCCCGTCCTTGCATGCGAGGGTGCAGGAAAGTCGCCGTCTCCAAGGTTTCTCGAATCAAGGCCGCAGAGCGGCTTTTGCCAACCTTTCTGCACCCCGCCAGGTCTTTACCCAGTTCTTCGCCCGCAGGTGCCTCACGCAGGCGGAGCCCAGCGCCCCTCTACCGCCGTAAACCAACGCCCGGGAGGCCTCCCCTGCTGCCATGACCGCTGCTCCGACGACAAGTAGCAGCTCTTGCGGAGAAAGGGAAGCGGAAGGCGGGCACCCGAGCTCTCCGCCCCCGCTGGGTGGGTTAAGTGGCGGAAAAGGAGGCACGGCCCCTGTTAGGCTAACCTAGTTTGTCTCCTCCGCACAGGGAGGGGGGAGTGTCCAGAGCTGTGCTTGTCAGTCTCGGCAACTTTAAGCGGAGGGGACCCATCTCCCAGAATCCCCTCAGCCAGCATGCTGCTCCAGTGAATCTAGGACGGAGATGTGCACAAATCCTCCAAAGGTGTGAGGGTATTAACCCTGACAAGAGCTTGCGTCTGAGGGTAGGACAAGAAGCAATGGATGGAAGATCATTAAAGAGAGATCCAACCTAGAAATTAATGAGAAATTTCCTAACAATGAAAACAATTAAATGGAATAGCTTGCCTTCCAGAGTTGTGGGTACTCCAGTGCTGGAGGTTTTAAAGAAAATACAGAATAACAAAGGACATTAGAGGTCTTCTAGTCCAACTCCCTGCTCTAGCAGGAGACTGTACCATTCTGGACAAATGACTGTCCAGTCTCTTTTTGAAAACCTCCAGTGATGGAGCACTCCTAACTTCTGGAGGCAAACTTTTCCACTGATTAATTGTTTCACTGTTAGAAAATTTCTCCTTAGTTCTAGGTTGGTTCTCTCCTTAATTAGTTTCCATCTATAGTTATTTTTCCAGGATGGTATAAGGACTCCTGCCTTGGAATGGGGGCTGGACTAGAAAGCCCTATGATTCTGAAGAGATGTTGCTAAAGAGGTCAAAGGTTAGCTCTTCAAATGCCTCTTTTCTTTCTGGGAAAGATTAAACCTGCCTTGATTTTCTTTGAGTCATTACAGCCTCCTGAATTGAATTGGACTGAAACCTCAGTTAAGCTCCAGATAATTTGCCATATGTTGGCAATAATACAGAAATAATATAGTTTTGCATTTGTTTTAGGATCATTTAAAAAAAACAAAAACTGACCCTATACAAGACCCTATAGTCTCCCATCCCAGCACTAAGTATTGCATGCCCTATCCTACTTTCCTGAGGTCCTCTCAGATCCCCAAAGAAATGTATTGCTTCTCTTCCTATAGTATACGTGCTTTTGTGACCATTTTTTGTGGCCTGCCATTTTGTTGGGAGGGCAGATGCTTTGGGGATGCTTTGCACTTTCTCACCACTTTGCCCTTCCCCCAGAAGAAGGAATGCCGCTAAATAACATTACCCTTATCTAAGAGATGGTTTTTCGCTTGAGCCAGAAGGAAACGAAAGCAAGAGAGAACTTGAAGAGTACACCAAAAGAGTCAGTTACCAAAACAATATGCCACCTGTACATTGGCTGGGATTCAAATGGACATTGGGACCCAGGGGGGAGGGGGTAACAAATATTGCTTTTGATATACTGCTTACATGGGCTATTTCCTTAGACCTCGCTTTGCTTCCTTGCTATCACTAACTCCTTTTGAGACAATGCTGGTTCAAGAGTGTTGGAATATTCATGAGCAGGAAGAGACATGTGGTAACTCAGACAGCCAATGAGAAGAAAGTGCTACTGAGTCTGTGTAAAAAAAGGTATTGAGTTAGGAGCTGGATTTCCAATTGAGCTATGTTGCTGTAAAGAAGAATGTATGGTATTGTAAATATTTTGATATAAGTAAGAAGTTATTTTGAATCAGCTAAATGCAATCAACTGTGAGAGCTTCTGATTTATTTTTTCACCAATAGAGAAATTAAAATTCTCTAACAGGTTATGGGCCCAGAGCTTACTAAGCACTGCATTGTAATTTAAAGCTGGAAGAAATTGCCTATGTTTAGAAAATATAAGAACAAGGCAGAATTAGCAGAATGGCTGTAATGGAATTTAAGGAAAGCTGTGTGCCTCGTTTGGGCCAGAAGAATTACGTTATATGGGCTGCAAAAATGGAATGTTTGCTGAAAGCTAAAGAGCTGTGGTATATTGTAGAAAATCCACCACAAGTATTTCCAGCTGCTGATCAGAAGAGTCATGATCAAGCAATGGCTTATCTCATCTTGAATTTAGATGATGAACAATTTCTAAATGTTGCAAATTTAAAGACTTGGTTGAAGTTGAGAACTGTGCATGTGAATGTTTCTGCATGCAATATAGTGCAATTGTCAAGAAAACTTTACAGGGCCTGTTTGCAACCAGGTGTATCTGTGGAACAGCATTTAAATAAAATGCAAAGTTTATTTTTGGACTTAGAACAACGTGGGATTAAATTCTCTGAGTCCCAGAAGGTTTTATTGGTGTTGAACAGTTTAGATAAAACCTGGGACACAGTTTCTGCGATATTTGAGTGTAAAGAAAAGCAAGACTTAAATTTTGAGGCTTTAAAGGCATGTTTGCTTAATGAAGAAGAAAAGCGCCATTTTAGAAGCAGCCACGAGGAGATGAAATTCCTGAGAAGGGGGTCCAGACTGCAAGTCTCCAAAGAAGAAACATTTTGCAGGCAGAGAGCTAAGCAAGAAAAGAATTGCTACATTTATGGAGCAAACAACCATCTGAAAAGGAACTGTTTGCAAAGGAACAATTTGCAGCAAAGGACATTTGTGTAACCAAAAAGGACTGATTTGCAAAAGAAACATTTTGGTGTTGCAAAAGTTTGCTATAGGAACAACAGAGACAAGTGGCTATTAGATAGTGGGGCAAGTCAAACAATTGTTAATGACTCTGAATTATTTTGCAGGTTTGTTCCAGTAGCACAAGAAGCTGTGGCTTTGGCAAATGGCCAGAAAGCAAAAGTCATCGGAAAAGGCTATGTAAAAATTCCATATTTGGAATCAAAGTTTATTAATATGCTTTGTGTACCTGAGATGGAACATAATTTGTTAAGTGTGTCTAATTTAGACAAACAAGGTTTTGAGATCATTTTTGTAAATGGGAAGTGTCTCGTCAAAAGGAATGGGAATATTTGTGCAGAAGGCATAAAGGAAGATAATCTATATATATTGCAGGGACAAAAGGTTCAATGTTCCCATATATTTAAGAATGTTGCAGAGCATGATTCATGTGTTCATCTTCTGCATAGAAGACTTGGCCATGCAAGCTTTAAAGTTTTGCAGCAAATGCAAGATTTTGCAAAAGGGCTAAATTTGAAGGGATGCAAAACATATTTGGACTGTGCAGTATGCAAAGCATCAAAGTCAAAGGCATTCCCAGTTAGTAAATATAGCACAAGACAAACAAAAAGAGCTCTAGAGCTGGTCCATGCAGATCTGGTGGGACCTATGCAAGCCAGTTTGGGAGGAGCAAAATATGCACTGGTAATTGTTGATGATTATAGCAGATATTCGTTTTGCTACTTACTTAGAGATGCTACAACAATTCAAACAATTCAAATGACTCGTGCAGCTTACAGACGTAAAGAAAAGAAACAAAGAGAAGTGGAGGCTGGACCTGCAGTACAGGATGTGACTACTTCAGAGCCCGTGAGAGGGACAAAACCAAAGAGATCTTCTACTGCAGATCTTCAAGCGGTGGTCCGGAGGCTTCAGGCCATTAAAAATGGCAAAGTTTCTGATATGGAATGTTAACGGCCTGAATTCACCACAGAAAAGAAGGAAAGTATTTCATTATTTGAAACAACATAAGAATGATGTTGTTTGTTTGCAAGAGACTCATATTACCTTGAAGGATCAAAAGTATTTGATTAACTCATGGTTAGGATCACATTTTATAGCTCCTGCTCCAGAGAAAAAAGGGGGGTAGTTATTTATATGCGGAAAGATTTATCTGCTAAATTAATTGATTCTGACCCACAAGGAAGATATGTTATTATTGATCTAGCATTATATGGCAAGAGACTTCTTATTATTGGATTGTATGGTCCTCATCAACAACAAAAGTTGTTTTAACTTAGATTAGTGATTGGCTTAACTTAACAAATAAAAACATACTTTCTCTTGAGGGATGGGATTTACTATATGGATGGCATGCATATTTAATTTATAATAAAAAAGTAGATCAGGTTTTTAAATCTCATATTTTAAGAATTGCTTTATTGCGTGTCTGGAAGAAGTATTATTATAGGTTGAATTATAAAATTCCAAGTTGGAGGATTCCCAGACACGCAATGGAGGGGGTATCTAGAGGTGTGAATTTGAATATGATTTCTTATAAGGAATTGCTTAACTTGGTAGGGAAGGATTGGCAACTAAAATCTTTAGTTGAGTTGAAACAAGAAAATATTGTACTCTCTTGGTTTCAATATAACCAATTATTAGTTAGGTGGAATTTAGATCAAAAGGTTGGTATTTGCTTAGAGGATGTGAATTTGATAAAACAGATTAAAGATCAAAATCGAGCACATATAAAGTGAATCTATAATGTTTTAATAGAACTGGATTCTGAAACGGAGTTAGTTAAAGACTGTATGGTAAAATGGGCTCAAAATATTCAAGAACCAATTCTATTGGATACATGGGAGACAATTTGGGTTAGAAATGTAAAATTTACTCAAGCTCAAAATTTAAGAGAAAATTTTTATAAAATGTTTTATAGGTGGCATCTGGACCCACAAAAGTTGTCTTATATGTATCCTAATCTACAGCCCAAATGTTGGAGATGTGGTAGTTTAGATGCAACTTATTTTCATATTTGATGGACTTGTAGAAATATAAAAGCTTTTTGGATTAAGATTTGGTGGAACATTCAAAATATTTTTAAGAGAAAGATAAAGTTTACGCCACAATTATTTCTTTTAGGCGTTATTGAAGATTGTGATGTTAAAGAAATTAATTTGATGTTGAATCTTATAACAGTTGCAAGATTATTGGTCGGGCAATATTGGAAGAAAGATTCTTTGCCCACTATGGAAGAATGGACTCTTAAGGTGTCTAATTTAGCAGAAATGGCGAAAAATTCTGCTTATTTGAAGGACCATTCATAAGAAAGATATATTTCGGTTTGGAGAAGATGGATAGACTATATTCAAAATAAATATGGGAATAAAAAGTTTCATTTACTTTTTGAATAATGAGTATTATTATTATTATTATTATTATTATTATTATTATTATTATTATTATTAC